CGTTTTGGTAACTTACAGCAAACTTTTTATTGAATATATATCTATTAAAAATAAAATAAAAAAATTTTTTGAAAAATTGTCAAAATTGGCTTTTTTAATGCGTAACTCCCCGCATTACACGAGTGCGCTAACAAAAAAAAAAAAAAAAAAAGAAGTTAAATACGATTAAATGTTTGTCAAAAAAATGCAACACAAGTTGAAATAAGGGGTCAAGATTTTATTAATATTTGCCGACAATGTCTTAATAATTATAATAAAGTTCAAAGTAAAGTGTTTAGTACTGTATAATGTTTATTTAAAAATTATTTGAAAATTCCAGAAGACCTTCTAACACTCAAGTGTATAGCAATTACTCAACTGACAAGCCTTCTAAATTCTCTTCAACTATTTCCCGACAGGTATGTTTAAAAGTATCATATTTGACGAATTAGATATTGATTGTAATGGTATATATGCATTATTTCATTTGAGTGCCGCCAAGCAGATCGGGATTTCAATTATATTTCGTACCACACAATCTATTTAATTTATTAGGGACTGTGTCCGGTACAAAATATAATTGAAAGCACGATCTGTGGTTTTCCTTGGCGGCACTCATTTATATACGTCGTGTAACACCGAGATAAATAGCTTATCGAATTCGGCCGAATAGACTTCGGCAAATTTTTTTAGGTGTTCCAGAATTTATGAAAAACAGTTGTAATCGAATACGTCGAAGAAAATTCGAATTTAATCCGGATGGTCTTTTAAGAATAGGGTCGAAACACTACTATTACATCTTTAAATTATTTATTTACTAATTTCTTACTAGCACAATTAACGAGCAAACTATAATAGAATAATAAATACATATTATTAACCTAAAAAAAAATTCGAGTAATATGCTTGCACAAAAATGTATGATTTCCGCAAAGTAATCAACTATTTTTCTTTATTATATTCTTATTATCTATGATAACATGATTTTAAAAGCCAAAGATTATTGGAAAAATACTATTAAGAAAATTGGTTTTTGGAACAATGATGATTATTTTTACGAATTAAAGAAAAAGCCAGGAGAAAGTATTAAAGATAAAGTCATGTCTCTATCTTTATTAAGCCGAATAACAGCCCAACTCAACCAGAAAATAAAAGTGATTGAGGAAAAATCGTCCTGGTCTGTTTACCAATAAATTTTTTTTACATAGCAAATTAAATTAGGATTACTAATTATGTGAAGTAACGCGGTCCTTTATAGTGGTAAAAGGGCTTCTCTTGCATACAATGGGGAAAAATCATGTTGGCAGAAGGGGTGTTCTTTTGCACTGCAAGGTAGTATTCCATATTATGTAAAGTAACGCGGTCCTTTATAGTGGTAAAAGGGCTTCTCTTGCATACAATGGGGAAAAATCGTGTTGGCAGAAGGGGTGTTCTTTTGCACTGCAAGGTAGTATTCCATAAGTCGACTCTGTTGCAAAAAAAAGTTAAATGAGGTCATATAAAATACATAAAAACAGATAAGATATCAAACTTTTAATCCATACTTTAAACATGTAAACTTTTTCGATAACCTCTCTAAAGACATATAATTGATCCTTTGAGTTCGGGATACTGAATTTTGTTAGTTTATCAACAACATATATGCCCATATTTTGATGCATAACATAGATCGTAAATGTTCTTTCTAAGGTAATAAAAGAAAAGGTCAACAATAACTTGCTTTAATATATATGATATTAAATCCATGTTACTTACGATATACAATAATTCCATAAGATTTTAAGGAAGTAAGTTGTTACTCTTTCACTTCACGTTATAAGTGATGTTGGCGTTGGTAAAATATAGATATCTGCATGCATTTAAAAATTTTTCCAGTGTCTTCGTTTAGTTTTGATGCATAATATAGATCGTAAAGGTTCTTTCTAAAGTAATAAAAGAAAAGATCAACAATAACTTGCTTTAATATATATGATATTAAATCTATGTTACTTACAATATACAATAATTTTATAAGATTCCAAGGAAGTAAGTTGTTGCTCTTTCGCTCCACGTTATAAGTGATGTTGGCGTTGGTAAAATATAGATATCTGCATGCATTTAAAAATTTTCAGTGTCTTCATTTAGTTTTGTAATATCGACACAATTAGTACTTCCAACAACTTCTAAAAAACCGATCTCAAAGATAGTTGCATTACCATTGATTGTATAGATTCCATCTTGATAACAACCAATTTGGATTCTTTGTTTGTATTGGCGAGTTTCATTTCTTTGATTTTTGCTTTCGATTTCTTCTATATACAAAGAAAAAAACCCAATAGGCAGAAGATCTAACAAAAAGAAATTTTTTCAACAAGAATGATTCTCAAACTTTACCTGAATTAGATCCATAATATTATCAAAAACTTTTGCAATTATAAGAAAGTTCTGTTTGTTCATGATCCAATAACAAGTTAATAGGTGATTTGAAAAGAAATAAACTAAAAAACAATATCGATTAAAATTAGATATTATATATACAATATAAAATAACAATAATAATAAATATTTACAATCGTTTATAAATATCTTGTATCCATAATAGATCAAAATGTTCTTTATATTCAAAAATATCTACATATAGTACTGCAAGAATATCCTTGATGACATCATCCAATGAAATTGTTTCAAATACCGATTAGTTTTCAAAATAAGTTTGATACTTTTTCATAAATCTTTTTCTATTTATTTAGACAAATTTTCTTAATTTCATATGATGACTCAAACTACAAGAAATTAAACAAAGCTGTTAAAAAGTTTGAATAAAAGCTAAAATTGCAAGAAAAAAGACTATTTGATACCGAATTCCAGATTTTCTTTAAGAGGCTCTTTTCAGATTCTGTTAACTTATTAATAGAACCCGAGGTATCTTGCACTAAAAGTTTTACAACCCTATACTTAAAGAAAAAACATTCGATATATTGTATCTTTTCAATAATGCTATGAACTTCTGCCACATTCTGTTAATTCGAAGATATAACATAATCAAAAATCAGATAAGATAAACTGCAACTTTAAAGTTATGCAAGATTCACTACCTCATAAGATAGTTGTATGTTTTTTGTGTAAGCATCTTCGTTATCAACGTTCTCTATAATAACTTCGTGATCATAAATGGAATAATTATATATCAAATTTTGTTCCTGTTATGATTTGTGTTATATATATATCAGAAAATGTTATAAAAAAATATCATTGTAACCTGAATATTTCATAAATACAATTGCCTTTTGGTGTTCGGGTGTTCTTTGGAAATAGACATCGATCCTAGTCCGTTTTCGGACTTTATCATTATCCTAAGAATTAAGATTGCAATTCATTAGAAACAAAAATAGTTTTAGTTTTAGTTCAAAAACTACACATCTTACTTTTTCTTGATTAGTTCTCTTTGGCGTAAATTTTACATTAAACGCTTCACTACTTATGCTTCCATGTATATTATTAATTGCACCATAAATTCGATTATCGATGTGAACCCGTATACATGAACGTGTCTTTTCCCATTCTGTGGCCTTTTTTTTATCTGATTCGTCGCCCTAAAACAATACTTTCACAAATTAGTATTCTTGAATACTATGCTTTCATCC